CAGTTTGGACGTGTCCGGATACTTTTGATCACAAGGTGTATGTGTCTAAAATATACATCATATTTATTCCCCCTTTTGTGTTTTTTATAATGCTCAAATCATAGAATCCACCTTTGTGAGAGAAAAATGCAATTGATGACCTACTTTATTGTAGTAATTAAAGATATAAATTTATTTTTCAGTAGATACAGTAGTACATCTTAACTGCGTGATCCTCAAAACCAAACACAGTAATAGATAGTAAACGATTCTAATGGGAAACAAAATTTATAATACTATATGCTTTTCTTGATGATTTTACTTATCTCAAATATAACTCAAGTGTCGCAATTCACAATTGTTTTGTGCGATACTCGCCTCGGCAAACAGAGCAAAAGCACGCCTTGCATGCTATTCACCAAAACTGATTTTATCCACATCCTGATTACAAATACATCACCCACGTCTGCATGCCGTTGCAAATGTAAGCAAAGTGACCTTGACGCATTCCTAATAGTATTGCTTCACGAGAGAAGAAAAGTGATCCCCCGACTAGCGCTTACCGAGAGACACGTGAACTCTTGGTATGCGCTAGCGTAGGTGTGATACCCACAAAAGCTCGTGGGGGTTCACAGCGCCAGCTAATACTTCGGCTCTCTTTTGCAGGACACCGACGAAGAACAAGGCATTGCTGAATATCATGCTTACTCCGTGACTGGTGCATATATGGTGCGTGCGGGAGACTCCTTCATTCGCTTGGTGCGAGTGAGGAATCCGTGGGGCGACGTAGAAGATTCCGAGTGGAAGGGCGCCTTCAGTGACAAGTACGCTCCTTGACATTCAACTTTCTTTACTTTCCGTATACATACGTTTATACGGAGAAATATACGTAGTATACGAAGTGTTATGTAATGCTCGTTCGAGAAAATCTGCTTCGAGATTTTAGCGAAAATACTCGTTTTGGGGTCCCCTGATACCGAAAAAGTGTTGTTTTTTTTCAAAACATCTGTCTGTCTGCCCCTCTGTCCATCTATGAACTCTACTAGAGCCGAAACCATAGTTAGGTTTGTTTCCAAATTGAAGAAACTCCTGTCCATCTGGCTCGAGTCTAAGTTTTATGATTATGAAAAATATTCTTTAAAATTTGGGGTTACTTTACATGAAATCCCCCTGGCATTTTCAAAATTTTCTGAAATATGGTTCCAATTTTTTTCTTTAAATTTCTTGCAAGAAGACCGTCAAATACACTTACAAAGGCAGCATGAGTCCAATTTTTACGGTTAACTCAAAGTATTCAAAAATGGCAAAAGTATTAATTTCCTACGTCTTCCTACAACTACAAAGGGGTCGGGACACGTGCCCGGCGAACGATCGGGGATTCCCTTTTGTTGCGAGGAGGGGAAAGTATTGAGGCAGAGTCACTGATCCAAGATCAGAATCGCGACCTTTCACAGTAGTAAAGAGGAGGCATTGTAATACTGCAAGTGGAAAGTGGATATTTTTCGTCATAAAAACGTGTATTATGGGGTCTTCATATCGAAAAGTTAATAACTTTTCTCCCATGTGTAATAAATTACTTCCTCTATTCCGTTGTGTGCTGTTGGATTTTTGATACCGAAATAGTAGTTTACCTAACAAGGGCACGAAACAGGTAATTCACGCACGAGTCGAGTTCGTTGTTTGAGCCTACAGAGAAACGCAATGCGTCAAGTAAAGGAATATAAATTAAATTACAAAAAATTAGAAATACCTTGCTTGTACAAAAGCCTGTCGTAACAGTATTGTTCGTAAATAATCAGCAAAAACATTATCAAGAAGAAAAACAATTGCGAATCGTTACAGATGTTTCACACTGGCTTGCGATGTTTCGCACACCGTGAAAAAATTAGCTTATTCAAGCACGACAAACCGAATTTCGCGCACAGCTTGTTAAAAAATTGATTTTGGGCAAAATATTTGCCGTACTTTCAAAAGGTTTTTTTCTGTATCTTTGATACTGAAAAATGTATTCTTGGCGAAACGTCTATTCATCTGATCAACGCAAGCGCCTAAATCGTTCAGACGACTTTCTCAAAAACTGATAATGAAACGATCGATCTGGCGGAACTGGAGGCCTTGCGAGGTTGAAATGGCATTTTGAAGGTAATTCACATAAAGCCTGAACATTTTCAAAACGTTCTCAAAAATTGCTTCAAAGCTTTTTTGATTAGTTTTTCTCACAGGTAGAGCAAAGAATGCTTTAAAACAAGATCATGCATCATTCTCGTTGAACTATGAATTTTCGAAAATTGCACAGGTTCAGATTTCATAACAAGATTTTTCCATATGTCGCATCATTTCATCCTTTATTATTGTGATCACATTTTCGTTTCTAAACTGAAATATCAATTTACCTTGCTTTCTGTAATACGGTAAAAATATATTCAAACATTGACATGTTCAATACACGTTCTGTTTTCCCATAAACAGAGATCCGAAATGGACTGGTGTACATCCAGAAACTAGAAAGAAAATGGAATACGTAAAGGACGAAGATGGGCAGTTCTTCATGAAAACAGCTCATTTTAAGAAACATTTTCCACAATTCACTGTGGCATCACGATATCCTAACTTTGGTGATTGTTATGAAACACCTGCTCACCAAGTAAGTAATATAGAAACAAAAATATACTGCAAACACGAGAATATTGATTCCATTGCAGAATGAAGTGGGAGGGAGCTTAATTTGTACGAACTGACTCTGCAATACACTCCTACTTACCCTTACCTACCGGCACTTTTTAGAACAAATTGTTTATTATGGAAGTTATCAATTACTCCTCCAAATGGTATGAAGTATCTCAAAGTTTTCTTTCCTCCTATAGATTTACGTTGTCAATAACGTTTGGGAAAAAGGAATCTCTGTAGTTGGAGATGTTGACTATGCAGAGAATTTTCTAAGGAATCCGCAGTATCTTCTCACTGTTGAAGAGTTAGGTAAGTAGCAATGGAAAACAGTATGTAAACCCCTCCCGTTACCACTCCAAACAATGAACTTTTTCAAATTATTGCTTAAAAGTGAAATACAACAGCTCTTTTTATATAATTGTATTCGTATTAATATTGAAAGAATTTTCAAATGTCTATTTAACACATGGCATTTCTAAAAATCAATTTCTAGATTCTTTGAAATTTTCAGAACAATTGTCTTGGAAAATCAGAATTAAAAATAACATTTTTTAGTCACTTCAATTCTTTTGAACAAGTCAAGACATACATGAACGAGGCTTCCTAAGCTTCTAACTATAATAAATCTATGGAAACGATCAGACAATCCCAAGTACAGTATTCAAGTTAATACAACAAAAATAAGTGATCAAACATGTTTATGAATAAAACAACACATATTTTCCTGAATTTATTGAAGATATTTATTTTCTCTTTCATTAATTTAATACTGTCCGACCTGGATTGTAGAGGTGGCTAAGAGCGTATATCAACTCAGGGCTTCAGTCCGAAGGATCGCAGGTTCGAGCCCCGCCTTTGGCATAATTGTTTATGCCTTGTCCCTCATGTATGTGGTGTCGTGAATCTGTGATAAGCGAAAAATTCACCCCAGATCCGAGAAGCCCGGAAGTTTGTTGGTGTGTAGTGTATGGTCGAATATGAGTCCCAATGAGATGTAAGGGTAACCGGCTAGCGACTGAGAAAAGCCATAGGGGAAAAATTGATAACATAATTGTTCATACACAAATATTCATGATAAATATGTTTTGAGAAAGACATTCTTTACAAGTATTTTTTAAATTATAAAATTACAGTTAAAATAACTAATAATATGATAACTAATATTATTGTTTGTCAGATGAAGAACAAGGAAATAAAAGTGATGAAGAAGAAGAAAAAGAAAAAGAACAGGAAGAAGAAGAAGATAAAATTCATCCAAAATATAACGTTATCATTGAGCTTGTTCAAGAACAGAATAGAACCAAGTACGAAGACGAACAGTATGGTATCGGTGTAACCGTTTTTCAGGTAAATTTAGGCTTGTGTGAATGAATTGACACTCTTTTCAACACATATATAAAATCACAATCTTTGCATTTCAACCTGTAAACAATGTATTTCAATATTTGCATAAACTGTTTTTTTTACATTATCTACAAAATTAGTCACAAAATTAAACACAGCTTTCCGTTTCTGAACGGTCCATAATGCTGAAATGTATTTTCATAAAAGTTAATAAGAAATGGAAAAATGAGAGAAACGTTTCTCACACTATTTTTACTTCTATTTTACAAGACTGAGATTTACTTTCGTTTTTTAAATGGAACTATACTCACGTAATATCTCACACTAATGTTCCAAACTGTTGTGGTATGTAAAGGCTCAACGATCATCTTTTGCCAATGAACATGTAGATGGAAATCTCACACAACTATGCTCTCACACAATGCTATATATGTGAGATATGCCTCTGATTGCAGACAACGTATCCTAAGATTGCATTTGGCATTTACACGTTCTGACCGAAAGATAGTTCGCTTACCTACCCAACACCGCTTAATAATATCATCATTTATGTTATTTCTAAAGTCGGTTATAAAAACATCTCTTTTCCGGATTCAATCAAAGAAAATAAGGTGTTTGAAAGCTGGAAGTTTTCAATTCTGCACGCATGGTTTACATTTTCGTGTACGTTATTTTTCAATTTTTATTATGTTGATATCATGCAATCCTGGCAGTAGGGCGGGCAGTATTGTGGTTAGGCGAGGGGGGGGGGACAACACAGGGCGAAGACGGTGGCACCAAGCAGACTGGGTTCGGGCACTTCGGGGTAAGGAAGGAGAGGCTAGGGCAGAGCAGGACACGGAATGTCAGGCCAGATTACCTGGTACACTATAGACATAACGCATTCCATTTTCTTCACGAACAGAACAATATGATAAATAATAATAATATGGAAAAGTTCTAAAAGTATTCGACTTTAAACATTCGATTTAATCGAACGAGTTTTCACTAGTATATATTATTTCTAAAACGTGTTATGTAAACATTTTTCGAATGAATTAGTCAATCTATCTCAGTAAATAAGGGGTTTCTTGATAGATGCACGTCCCTGATGACTGCACGTGTAACTTACGTCTTTATATTCTGTATACCTTACAACAACAACAACAACAACAACAACAACAACAACAATAATAATAATAATAATAATAATAATATGTTTTAATGTCCACATTAAGCAAAATCTGGCGGAGACGTCAGTTCTGGCGGTACCATGGAAGTGAAATCGCTGCTCAGAGGTAGATTGAGCAGTTCAGTGCGGTTTGTAGTCGCATTTGTGTTTTTCGTGGTGTGTTTCCATTACACTTCTGAATTGGCAGAGTAAGGCGGGCAGAAACGAGCACAGGCGAGGCAGCATAGGATGAGGCTTGTGGAAAGGAGCAGGGTGGATTTGGCCAGTTCGGCGTAAAGCATGGAATGGCAGAGCGGGGATGCGTTCTAGGTAGAATTCATTCCTTTTCCTATATGAATAGATGATAAATAAATACCCTGTAAGTAAAATTGAATTCCTCTTTTGAATCCCTATGGCATTTAATTATACGAGTTTTAGTAGTGGAATTGCAAAAATTGGAAACTTAATTTTTCGAACCCTTCCTACGTCTTAAATATTGTAGGCAGACTTTTTTAATAATTCCAAATATTAAATATTGGATTTTCAATTCATGTCATGAATGTGTGGTTTTTACTTACTCTCACGCTACTTATGTAGTATGAGGAAGGTAATGCGATGCTGCGGAGGAATATGACGAATTTTCGACTCTCTTATTGTCAGGCCTTGATATCGAAAACTTCATAAATCTTGTTCCCATATATAGTAAATTACTTCTGTTGTGTAGTGGGAATCTATGTTTGGTGGGTCATTGATATCTTTATGTTCAATTTTTTGAAAACATGAGTATTGTTTCGTAATTGCGCCTGAAACTGGCAATCTTTAAATCATAAAAAATACACAGAACGGTCCCAAATTTCACGTATGTAGCATTTTACATATTTTTCACGTATGTAGCAAATAACTGCAACGAAAGCCGCGTTTTCAGCGCAATCTATTTATTTTTGAAAATTGAAAAGCAATTAAATGATAAATTAGAATTCCCCGCGCTTTGTTTAAGGCGCTGTCAGTCTGTGAAAGTAATTTGAGATGTGCTTTAAGGCAGTTGGATATTCTTAAAATTCCGCCTCAATATTGGGACATGTTGTAGCTACATGAAATTCCGTTTTTATTGTCTAATTTGTCTTGATATTTGCTTTAAAACAATATTTTTTGTACTTAATGATCTAAGATGTAATGAGTAAAGTCAAGATTTCCATGCAATTCCATGTTTTTATTTAAGATTTGTAGTTTCCACACTTTGTATTTATATCTTTATTGGCAAACTCCTTGTAAAGCATACTTTTTCAATGTTTGTGTGTTTGTTAGTTTTTTGATAAGTTCTTTCATAATGCATGTTTAGACACTTTTTTCAATTAACGGTTAAAACTGTGTGTGACTTATTATAGGGAAACCCGCACGTTTCTTTAAAATTCTTGGATCACACATAAATAAGTTGAATTTTGATTACCAATGTAAATGGGCATTTTTTGGCAAGAATTGTTAAGTATTCACCAAACGTATGTGCCAAACGAATCGCTCATCATTTAAATGATTCCACGCTGGAAATAATTCCGCCCTGGCTGAACTCTATCTAAAGCTGCTACTGCCACCGCCGCTGAGCCGTATTACTAATTTATAGTTTTAAGGATAAAATATGTATTTAATTTTCCAATTTGTGTTGATACAAATCACAATGATATATTTTGCACTCATTTCTGTACTCGACTAAAGTGGGCTTAAAAATAGGTAGAAATCTGATTTTCATTAACACCTTAAGAACCAAAAATTGCTAATTCAAATCTTATTTGCAGTTTACTAAAGGTTGTTTTCTAGGACATGCTTAAATATTAATCTGCAATGCATATTACGTTAGCGTTATAAATAATGCGAGAAAGTACCTGCTGTTGTTGCACAAGTTTTGTGATACAAGATGATATTACAAAAAGAATAAACAACACAGACATAACACTAATAACAGTTATTTGCAGTTATTAACGTAATAACATTGAGAACAATAACCAGTCTACTTTGCGTGCAGGTGATACCGCGAAACCTGCCATTCAAGCGCATGATATATTCGCGTGGTAACAACGCGTGATATTGAAACCTTCTCCTACCTTTTTTACTGTTAGGAGGTTCACAACTGTGATATGTTTCTATTCAGCAGTAAAAAAATTGAAATATTTTTAAGGATCGTGAATCTTTCTATCCCGTCTAAGTAAAGGAAGTACGTTTCAAGTAAATTTCCAAACTCAAATACATTTATTCTTAAACAAACCAAAAACACAAAAATTGTCTTTTTGTTTTACAATAACAAAATGTCTCTTCTCTTCAGAAAAAAGAAATTAACCAATTCACATACAATTATACAATCTTTGTAACATTTTGAATATAATAATAATAATAATAATAATAATAATAATAATAATAATAATAATAATAATAAAGGAAGCATCAAGCATAATTTGAAAAGTTAAATTCAAAGTCACAAACAGTAATATGAATAACGTCGGTAGATGGTAAAATATTTACCATTTCACATAACTTCACTAAGATTCAATGTAATATCACACAATACTCCCCTCCGAAATAATCAAATTTACTAAACATGAAAACACTTAAATCAGTGCAATCTCTCGCTACTATAAATTACAGGAAACTGTTTCAGAACAAATAAATCACAATTATGTACTCTGACATAATTCTAAAATCCCCGAACTTTATATTGTTTTACATCCGCTTATAGTTTCATTCACAATTCCAAGTTTCTTTCTTCATAAGCACACTGCCGTTAGAAAGTGATTAAGTTCCATTTCTTCCACCCACGAGCACATAATAAAGTACCATTCCCCCAATCACCTCCTCCTCTTGGCACGTATTCCGTCCAAATATCTTGTTCATACTCCGAATTTTGAAAACCCTTTAACCAAGTCTCGTCTTTCCAGCATGTCATTTACGTCCGATTATACCCATTCAGTCGATGTTATAACAAAATAATCGTCCGAGAGAGTACTTATCGTAATCTTGTGGATCGGAGTCCTCTTTCACCGTGATGTCGGGTCAAATCACGGTCTCTCCGTCCGCTCGTGTTGGCGGCTTCCAGTCCAGCGCGTCGAAAAGTGGTCGTTAAATGCCAGAGCGCTCTGACGCGCTGCTTGTGGCCGCAGATCCAAGGCCTGAGGCGTAGCTAGCGCCGATCGCCCGTGGTGCGTTGCTCGCAATCCATAGTTACTCGCAGCGTACCACGGTCCAATCACCATAAAATTATTCTAGCTCGCACTGACATCATCCAGTTTGCTGTCTGATATTTTCACTGTTCCAGCAAGTCGCGAAACATCACTACTTTCATAAGCTTTGTCGGTTTTGAGGATACTTTGCCTCTCGCAATCACCACTAAATAAATTCAATGCCTGCGTGCACTGCCATGCCTTGCTCTCGCTTATCTCCTCACACCGCCTCGTCTTGCGAACGTCCTTCTACTAACCGTCTCCTCTCGTTCTCCACGCTCTCTCCCGCGTCGGTCTGCACGGACACCATAACTCAAATGTATCGAAATGTCTATCAATACGTGTTTCCAACCTCTTGCCCGCGCTATTTGAATGTAGAGTTGTTATCTCAACCATAGATAGACAAGGGTTACAATGTGGCAGTAGTCGCCCCCGCCGCCGTAGCCACTGCTGCTCTTTTGAGTTATAAACGACATCTAATTTTATTTACCGTTACAATAATGGAGCTTTTAAAAACACTAATAGTTTTCATTACATCGTTTGTTATTTTTGTTTAAAGACTGAAATGTTAGAGTAAAGTTGTAAGATCCTAAATGCTCGAGATGCATTATAATAAAGTTACACGATCTTTACCAACAATATGCTAAAGTAGCTGTTTCTGTAGCACCACA